AACAAGTAAAGTCATCATTAAGTCTGACCCCTCTCAAGGTATGGATAATCCATCTCAACTTTTAACCACCAAATTTTATTACAGTAGTATTAATGCCCCTTATAACAAGCTACAATGCCAAATTTTTTCTTAATCATTACCCAATTCTGAGATATTAAACAAAAAAGTCTAATGAGTTGCATAACTTTTTCATCTTTTATGGGATTTTATTTTAAAAATAACATTTGTATTATTAATCAAAATAAATAAAGTTGCTTCATTAAGTCTGACTCCTTGTGAGATATATCACGTCAACATCCTCTATTTCTCCATCCACTTGACTTGTCATAACTAAAATTTAATAGCATCAATGCCTTTATCTTCACCCTGTCCTGAGATATTAAGCAAAATAGATGCCAACACACACACATATACACACCCATGGAATTTGTTTGGTTTTTTGACTTTTTTGGGTTCAGGCTCTCAAACTGTGGAAATTTGCAAAAATCTCAGAGGGTCAAATCTGAGATGATTCCATTACTTTCTTTTGCCATGTATACATAACAGCTGAGAAAATAAAAAGAAATTAAAGATTACATGGAAAATAACTAAACAACTAAATTACACTTGGGCAAAAAATACTTGTATTTTGCAAAGATAAAGTGCAGCTTATAAGGATAAACAATATAAATCATAGGCCTATATCATTTTACAAACTATATTGTATAAAATGTCTAAAGTATTATATAATAATTATATATTATATTATAAAAGATACTAAAAATAACTTCATGAAGTTAATAATCTTTTTAAAAGAAAAAAAGTAAAAAAAAACCACAGATTTCTCATTCCAAGAAATTAATTAAAGACTTAAAATAAATTGTTATAAACTTAAAATTTATTTTTTAAATAGAAACTTATATTTTGTTCACATTTCTGCTTACAAATATAGAATTAGATATACCCAAAAGATACTTACAAAATAGAGAATTTGAATAATGTCAAGATTTAGCAATCATTAGAAAACTTGCTACTTCGCATAACTTACAAAATTAAAAATTTATTCTGTTGAAAGAATCATAAAGATTCTATCAAATTAGCTAATAGATTTTTAAGGCTATATTACATAAGAGCATTACAGCTTTTATGTTTTAACATATGGTGTTTAACTGTTTATGCTGAACCATTATTTCTAAAAAAACATTTCAAGGTTGTCAAAGTTATTTATTCTAATCAACAATAGTACTTACATAACTCTATGATAATGAGATGTAAAAGCATCATAAGTTTTTTTTAAATAAAAAAAAAATTAAATGTTATTAACTTTATTAAAAAAATAAAATTTGGATTTTTAAATTTGAATTAATCTCATAAAAAAATATTAAATTTAAATGGGTAGTATAAAGAAATAATCGTTAGATGAGGTGTCGGTAGTATTTATTCCAATATTAGAACAGCTGACTTAATGAGTTTGTTCTGAGGCTTATAACTAAACTTGTAAAATATTTAATGAAGTAAATTATGTTTACTAACTCTTCATTTAAAAATTACTACTTATTTTCATCAATATGTAATTAAATATAACTGAATACTGAACTTTAATATAACTTTAATAATAAAAAACAAAAACCTATTATATTCAATGTAAAATGTTAACAACTTCACTAATAATTTTAACAATAATAGTATTATTAAAAAAAAAATTGTAAATAATTATTTTCATTTTCTCATTCAAAAAATTTGTTCAATGCCATCAATTATTATTTGATTTTTCTGATTATTTAAAATTAATTTAGACTAGAAATAATTGAATTTGTAATCTCACAAGTATTTTAATAATTATAATTAATTTCTAATTCAAGTAATAAGTTTTTAACGTTGCAATTGTTAGAAATGCAAAATCACTTGGGTGAATGGAAAGGGATTTAGTCAGTCAAAATAAAATATGTATCTGACACCCACAGACTCATTGTTCCTTTTATGCCAGTAAGCAATTATTAACAAAATGCAAGTACTTCCTTATATTCAGCTGGATGATTCATGTTTACATAAACTTGAACTCTTATCATTCTCTAAATCTACTGTACTATACTGTACATATTTAGAAAGTATTTATATACATTATTACCTTTACTTTTATAATTTGACAGAAATAACTGTAAATTGTTTATCTTATTAATTTCTTCATATTTAATGGTATCATAATAAAATTAGTTTTATTCCTGATTTGTAACTAAACTAAGATTATAATTTTGATACATATTTAATTAATGGAAAAGATAGTTGTGAAGAATACATGGAAAAATAGCACCATTCCAAACTTAACAAATATAGATATTGCTTTAATACATCTGACTAATATAGGAAATCTTCCAAGCACTTGTGAAACTTCTGATATCAGTCAGCACCATTAATTAAAAGTTTCTATGCTTTTACATAAAAATAAAATCTGTTAAAAAAATACATTTTTTATGATAACACATATAAACAAGATAACTGCTTGGTTAAAAGCCAAAACATTTAATGAATAAAACATAATTTAGTTAATAACATGGTTGTTCTCAGCATATAAAAACATATTCATATTCGATAGAATAGAATGACAAGATAATTAGCATACGATAGAATTTTTCACTTTATTATATAATTTAAATTTAAAATAAATGAATAAACAAGAGTTGTAATTAATGTTAGAATTATTATATAACTTACACAATTTAATTTAATATGAATATAATAATTTATATATCAATAGAGTAAGTAGAAAATATAAATTCTTACAAAAATAAATTAATAAATTGTCATTATTAAGTATAATTACAAACAAGAAAACAAATTTTTTAAACTATGTATCTGATTTTTCTATTATTTTTCATTAATTGAAAATCATACAGCTTCAATTTCTTGAATGTAAAGTCTTTGTTAACTTACACTCTGGGTTCCAACTTAAATATGTGTTTTAAATTCCATGAATTTCCCTGACCCTCATATCTCTTACAGTAAGCCACATTGACAAAATAAAACAGCACTTGACTTTACTATGCACATATGCTATTGCTTCTCCAAATTTTTAATTTGTTATTTTTTCTAATTAACAATTATATATCTCATAATATATGAATTATAAAAAACTAAAAATTAAATATTTTATTAAATTAAAATAGTTATTAATCCACAACCATAAATCTACATGGCTTTGAAAAAAAAGCAATTATTTATTTATTATTCATTGGTTAGTTTGATTTGGGGTTTTGTGGCACAAGCTGGGTCTAGCCATATTACTCATTAACAAATCCTGTATAATACATGTAAGATACAGAAGTATATACAGTATTTATTAAATTTATCCCTTAATAAATTTCCTGAACTTTATAAAATATTAATAAATCAGAAATTGTCTTGTTAGGTAATCAAAATTATTAAAATTAAAAAATGATAAATAATGCCATTTATTTCAAATATCACAAATACATTATAGATTGGAGTTTCTGTACATTACATACCTGAGAACTCTCGTTTAACTCCAGTACCATTTATATTAAAATTATTTATCATTTTTTGAACTTCAAATTTTTGGGGAATTTTGTGTAAGTTTGGGCAAAAGTTTGGGTCCTGAAAATATTCTGCACCCCTTTTCATAAGTTGTATTGTAACATATTACTTCTTGCTGACTGCTGACAGCTACACTTAGTCAAGCATACTGTCAGCAAAAAATCAACAAAGCAGCCAAGGAGGCAAATTTCCTGACTTTTTGACAATTTTTGACAAATCTCCTGACTTTCTATGACTTTTTCTGAATAATAAAAACACCTGATTTTTCCTGATTTTCCAAGTGCTTAGGAACTCTGTACACTTCAAACACAGAGAAACAGAGAAAACAGAGAGATAAAGTATGACATGTTGTACAAATAGATAAATTATGAAACTTGATTAAAATTAATTACAAAAATAACAAAGCACCTATTCGTGTATTAATATAATAAAAAGAATACAAAATTTAAAATTTATGACCTTAAAATTCTCCTACATTCAAATAAATAGCTAGGATTAAGAAAATGATGTAACAGAATAAACAGAAGTATTTGTCAAATAAACTTTCATAATAGCTTAATACATTCATAAATAAATTGTATATTTTAAACTGTGCATTATTCTTATTCTATTGTATATAAAAATTGGAAAGTGTATATAATTTGGCCTGGTGTCTTCTGCTCTTGCACAACCAGTAAAACTAAAATTGTAAACATATCATTTATAACTGTCATACGTACAAAGTTAAACATTTCGGGCTAAACGGGAAAGTTATATCTTCAGGGTTTGGTTGGCGCTGCCCAGCCCATATTTCATCACTTTTATTAAAGATACTTTTAAGAAAAAACAGTTAGCAATTTTCACAAATTCTGGCTGTTAGCTAACCATCTTTGATATTGTCGTGTGCATTGTTTTATGTTTTGGTACTTTCCAGTTAGCAGGGCGTCAGTCAACTGATGCAATCCAACTCACGTGTATCAGGTTGATAATTGGTTCAGAGAGGGTTTCTAAAATGGGTTGGTTAGGTTTAGGTTTGAGTTAGATCGCATCAATTGACTGGTGCCCTGTTAACAGATAAGTACCTATTTTTCTTACTTCTTGTCATGATTTGGTGTAGTGTAATACTTCTGAGTGATTCATTTAATAAAATAAATACAAAAGAAAATAGGTATGTATACTCCTTCATAGGTGACTTCACCTATAAAACAAATAGGTCAGCTTGGTAGATAAAGTTAGGGTATTTCCTCATAATAGTCAATCACAATACACAACTAATGAGTACCAAATCTTGAATTTTTTCTATAATTATACAGAAATTGACATAATTTATGATTTTGTTCATTTAAACACAGGTCAAGTGAACAAAATCATATATTTTACATAGAAGATTTTATATTATAGATCAAAAACAAAAGGAAGGCAGACATGAAGTGTCAAGCTCTTTGTTACAATATCTAGTGTTAAATTAATTACTAAATGTAAGTACTTACACTTATGACAATAACCTTAAATCCTTACAGATTTACGCTTTCCACGAATCATTTTAAAGTCATTGTACGTTAAACAATAATCGAAATTTTAAAGGAAACCATTTGAAAAGACGACCTTCCGCACGTTCTATCGCATTGCATCATGGGTTGTAGATTTTTTTTTGTTCTCTTTCTTCCGGCATTTTGAAAAATTCGTTTAATTTGTTTTAACAAATTAACGCGTTAATCGTTTATATTATTAATTTTAATTATTTTATAATTATTAATTATTAATCTGAATAGAAACTTTAACGAGTTGTTCTAGATATTCCTTTCTGTAACGGTATAAATATACGTTACGCCATTTCCGTTATGATTGAGTGAATGTATTCGTTTCTTATGTAATTTTTGCTTAATAATTATTACAGAAAGATGTTTATAAATTTATCATTATCCTTCTTCAACACGTGTTCTAATTCTAACCTTTAAAAATACTTTTTATCACAATAATACGACAGTTCTTGATTAAAATTAATCTGCGTTAACAGATTGAATTATAGATTAGAAGTATTGTCTGACTGAGATTACGGGTAACAGATGGCACGTATACACGTGTATTGGGTGTAGAGCTTGACCTTTTGTTTACTAATAAAAACAGGCTTTTATTTATTTTTTGTTAGTAAACGTAACATTTGTGAAATAGGAACTACTGAGGGTTTCCTTAAGTTTTCCATCCCTTCTCGATGGCTCTGTGTTTATGCTTGTGTGTGTGTGTGTTTATGTACAGTGCCGGCCCGAGGCAAGTTTTAGGATGGAGCTAGATCCTATTATGGCGTCCCCTTGGTTGCCCCTAATTTATACCCTTTAATTTACTTCACCACTGAGGCGCCCCCAAGGACTTAGCGCCTGGAGCGGCTGCTCCATTCGCCCTATGGTAGGGCCGGCTCTGTTTATGTATTACGTAACTTACTTTGTAATGAGGGATGCACAGAGCAGTGTAGATGTTACCTTACTTTTTACGACAGAAATTTCGTTACCTTGAAAATTTTATTTATTTTTTTCTCGATTTTAATTATTATTAACTAACTTTTTTTATTGATTCTGATATCTTTGTATTGTCTGAAGTTGCAGATATTTTTTTTTTAATTAAGTTTTACACATTTATGTTTTTCTTAGATTTTTATATAAATACAATAAAATTCAAAAATTAATTAAATATTATCGGAAATGCTAAACTATAAGTGCAGTGTGTTTTACAATATTATTGCGAACGTATATAGTCAATTATTTTATATACTTTTTTATTATTTTAATTTTTATAAATTATTTTATTTGATGCAACGCGACGCGCTCAGAATCGATTAATTACTGTGGCGCGTTAATCAATATGGCGGCGGGACTCGATTCAATTACTGTACTTTTTCATTTGAGACGTTCATCAGAGTGAGTGTTATTTTAATACAATTTTTATATATTTACTGATATATGTGCTCGAATACGATTATATTTTCAATTTCTACATTTTTTCTACTATCTGAAACTATATAAAATACTTGTGGTTTTAAAAAAAACTGAGATTTTTATTTATATTTTCTGTAATTTGATTTTTAAATTGTTAAATTTCACAGGATTATATTATTTTTCAACTTCAGGGTAGTAAAGCTTTCTATTTTTTCTCGGGCGAAAGCAATAGACTCTTCCACCCCCACTCTAAACGACAACAAACTGCTAATCGTTTTAATGCCTCGGTTTTCGTTGGCGTGCCTACGTGACCTCTTGCTAATTTTGCGAAAATATAAGGCGTTTTCTTGCACTCGGAGAATGTTTTGTTTCAGATTTGACAACTTATATTGTCATCAATGAATTCTATAATTTTATTTTTAATAATTTAAAATAATGCGATTATAAGCGAAGAAGCGCGGCCGCAATAAGAATCAGAATTCAATACGTGAAAGAAGGGTAATGACGCTCACATAAGCGAAATTCAACAACCAGTGCCTTTAAATGATAAGTGATATTTCACCCGTTTCTTGTATTTCGAACAATACTAAATGGCGGAAATTGAACAGACAATAAAACAATCACAAATTCTAAAAGCTATTCCAGAAAATCATAAAGTACAGGCGTTAGAAAGCAAAAAAATATAAGAAGACCCAAACAAAAATTGTCACACAAAGATTGCAGGCGTGTAAAAATATCATATAATTATAAATGTGACTATTGTCGTATGCAAAAGTGAAATTAGGAGAGCCAAAGCCTAACCACTGAGCCTAGGGCAGGGTCTATAAATCAATTTGTGAACTCACATACAAGTAAAATTTTAAATGTATTGTGAAGAATGTAAACATTGCAACGTTTACAGCTTCTCCATGAGAATCCAGTAGCAAGTACAGTAAATAAAATTATTAATTAATTTTTAGGGGATCCAAATGCCCCTAAAAATTGGGGTCTTGTCTTGGACTCGAATATTCATTAGGCACTGTGTAAACGTATTCGTATGCATGTAATATGTTCTACCTGTACAAATACAATATATTATTGTTTTCTAATACTTTTTTAACAATTATTAAATATTTTTTATGTAGTTTATGTTCTCTAACTTAATTAAATATTATTTCTGATGCTTTAAAATCTTAAAACTCCTTTTTTATTATTATTATTAATAAAGAAACATTCTTTATATTTCATTTGTTCAAAAGCAAGTAGTAGTAATAATAATAATAATAATAAATCCACCAATGAGTTGCTTAACTTTCCAGGCAACATTTAAAACTAATTACGGCGCCATCTGTTAAGATATTTTACTAAAAAACGTTTTATATTTTTAATTATTATAAAATGGCAAAAAGCTTAATTTTGAAGGTAGGGATGTGTTTTATAAAAATATTGTAAATGCTAATAACGAGTAAAATCGTCATTAAGTCTGACCTTACTCGAGATAAGATTGTAAAATGTTTTAAATGTTTCCGTTTACACGTTCTAAACACAGTATACAAGTTCTTTATAAGTATTTGAACTTTAATTTCTCCACAAGTGGGCAACACTCTAACACCCGACAATTAATTAATTAATAAGCACAATACTGGTTCTTTACCAGCCACACAGCTACATACACTGGTCAGCATTGACCCGACACACCAAAAAGAAGAAGCGCACAATTTCTCCCTCTCTAGGCGGGAAAAATCTCACCCCACATTTTTAGGGATACGATTACATAAACACACCTGACACGTGTGACTTAGTTGTATATAGAACTTAATAATATACAGTACGACACCCTCTACCTCCCCACCCCATTGACCTTTAATCACCAAAATTTAATAGCATCAATCCCCTTAATATACAAACCTTCCTGCTAAATTTCAGAAGTTTTCGACAAAAAGCAGAGGAGTTATTAAGCTTCAAAATCGTGCCACCCTACACACCCAACTTTTTTTCTTTCATTTTTCGACGCTTCAAGGTACCCTGAGTCCAAAAAATGTAAAAATCTTGAGGAGGAGGTCATTTTATGACCGATCGCCATACTTTCTATTATATATAACAGAGCTGGGAAAGTAATAAAAATGTCAAAAGGGACTCCTCTATTCCCAGGCTCCATATAAGATCTCTACTTCCCTGAGTATACGCAGAGACAGGGTCATTTAGTCTGAATGTATGATGTACAGGGGTTGTAATTTTCTGTAAAAATTACACGTTTATATGTAAGATTCAGAGAGATATAAAAATGTATATTATGTTTAAAATTTGTACAAGATCTCTCAAAGGTAAAAGTGGGCCGTTTATGAAGCCCACTTGACCTCTTTTCTTTGTATACTGTGAGGATTTAAGCTCTTTTGTGAGTTTTAAAAACTCAAAACATTTTTTTATTATTATTCATCATTATTTCCCTTCTTCCTTCAGTTTCCTCTTTCTTGAAGGTCGAAATTAGATCTTTTGACGAAAGGTGATCTTTTAAGTTTTCAAAGACGTTCAGGACGACAGATAAAATTCTCCCTTCGCGACAGGGATTATTCATTTCCACCTTCGTTACGATTTACAAATAACTAGCCAATTAATAAGAACCTCAACTTGTTACATGATAGAGGGTAACGAAAAGGTCACCGACAAGGTTGGCCGGACCGGACCACCCCCCCTTTTCTATTCTGTTCGATTGAAACGATAAGAAAACAGATCAGATGAGCCATCAATTGAACAATCATCACTCAGGTTGCACCACAGATACTCTGACCTTAGTCACCTCTGGCAATTAATTCAGTGAGTTTGACAGCTGTTGTCAAATTTATGATGAGAAAGTGTCACAATAACGGGTAGAAAAACTAACGATATAACGAGATAACTACTTAGAGAATTTTAACCTTCTTCTCTTTCGGTTTTGAGTTAGATTTAAGTTAACTGAACTTAGAGAATATTGTTTAGAAATTTACTATTTTTAAATAGATAAATAGTTGGATACCTGCGTGTATTGAGTTCCGGATCTATTTGCCCGAGACAGACTATTATCGGAAGAAAGTATATTGATTACCGACTTAGAAATAATGTTACTCTGTATATCTTTGCCTTCCTTCTTTTTTGTATTCTCTGTATCAACTATTGTTATTAAATATATTTATCTTAGCTTTAATTGCGTGTCATCCTTGAGTACAGCCGACACCTTGTCACGACCTCGCTATCCCTCCCACTCAATTAATCTAAGCCATTTCCTGACAAAGAAGCCGTTAAGTGGGGACAAGCTCACCGCTTATCCTCATCGGTTCTCACATATACAAATAAATCCTTTTTCTTAATGCATAATAATTAAAACGGTATGGATAACTTGTAACGTTTTAGTAATAATTGAATATGCCAAAAATTATATTACTTGGGATTCTAGAAAAACAAATTTAATAAAATCTAGAACTGTTTGTATAAAAAGATTGGATTGATGAGAAAAGGGTATACAACACGAGATGGATAGGAGTACTTTTTATGGTTACACACGTGAAGAAAACACGTGGCCAACTCGTTAGTCAGGCACGAACCCCCGAAACACCAGTGTTTTTATCAACATGGACACTGTTGAGTGCCATATTTTTCTATAAAAGATAGCTGAAATAAATGGAAAGAAACTTAATTAAAATACTAAAACAACAAGCTGAAAACAAAAACATTCATTAAGTAGTTGAATGCAGGATGTTGAAT